GAAAAATAATGGAATCTCTTGGCATTGATTGTTTTTCTCTGCGAGATTTCAGATTATGTGGATGATTTATTTGTCACTTTGCAAGGGAAATAAGAAGTATTTTGCTGCTTAGATACCTTCATAATCCTTGGGCAGAGTATGTGCCAGCTCTCCCATTAGCAAAGTGGGGAAACCAAGCTTGAAGGGTTAAGCAAGCTCCTACCTCCTGAGATTATTTCAGTCAAAGCCACGTGTGGCACATCTGACCGGAACCCAGATGGAGCTAATTTGAGTAGATTAGGGGAAAAAAGTGCTATGACAAACAATCATCTCCAAATTACACCAAAATGAGAGGGCGGGTCAGCTCCAGAGGGGTTTGGCAGTGATGCCTCTCCAGCCACTCAGGCTCTGCTCAGCTCAGCAGGGACACAGCTGTGCCCAAACCCTTTGGCCACTGCACTTAGAGCTGGCCAGTGGGGTCTTTGTCACCTAAAGCATGGGGTTTGTGGGGCTAGTGGCTGTCCTGACCTTCCTGCTGTGTGGCCCACCCCGGTGGGGCACCAATGCCCTGCAGCAGCACAGGGCACCCGGGATGTGCCACAGCCCAGCCTGGCAGGGTATGGGTGTGTCCTGGCTTGTAACACAAGCATGTATTCTATTGCCATCTGTTGGAGGTGGGGCATTTTTCTTATCTCTTCCAAGAACAATGTCTCCCTCTGGGGAGATCTCTTCTGTTAATGGACCATTGAATGACTCACTGCATGACTGGTAAAGTTCCATCATCCCATGGTGAGATGCTCCACCCAGAGGGAGGAGCCAAGCATTCCTACCTGCATAAAATCAGCAATTCGCTGGATTCCCAGAGGAGCAGTTCTCTTCCCCCCTGGATCCCCAGAGGAAGACCAGGCCCACCACTCCATCGCCAGACCTTCAGAGAAAACCCCACCCTTCTACAGAATCACTGCTTCAGCAGCATTTCATCTGCCACTCCAGGAGGAGCAGCCAGCATTTAACTGGACTATCACCAACACCCTGACTCCTCAGGGTGTCAGGTTTCTGACTCTATCACTAGTTTTGTTTGTACTAATTACATTTTTTAAATTATTTTTATTTACTTTTTTTCCTAGTAAAGAACTGTTATTCCCATTCCCATATCTTTGCCTGAGAGCCTTTTTCAAAACTGTGGTAATTGGGAGGGAAGAGGTTTACCTTTTCCATTTCACAGGAGGCTCCTGCCTTCCTTCACAGACTGCTGTCTTTGCAAACCAAGACAGGGTGCCAGGCTGGGCTGCGCCCTGGGAGCCTCCCTCCGGGCAGGCAGCCTGCAGGGAAGGAGGAGAGCAGAGGGAGCTGCTCAGCACGGGGTGGTGGAGCTCACATCTTCCCTGCCACCAGGACACAGCCCGCTGTGAGCGCAGCGTCAGCACAGGGAGGTGGGGCACATCCCTGCCACTCCTCTCTCTCTTCCCAAAGGTCCCTGCCAGCAGCTGCTCCTCATTCCCAGGTCGTATTTTTTCCACAGATTTAGTGGGAATTAACCTCTGGCCTGTTCTCTCCCTCCTGTCCTGCTCTGGAAGCTGAGCCACAGCAGGAAGCAGAGTCTGTCCCAGCTCCTGCTCAAGAACCTTGCTGAATGAAGGCTGTGAGTGCTGCAGTGAGGTGCTGCAAGGCAGCAGACTGATGAGACAGCTGGTGAGAGACCCTGAGCAGTGGTAGAATTAAACTGGGAGAGCAGGGTTTCATCCATCCTAAGAATCAGGATGTCTTCATCACTGCAGACAGGGCTGTTCCCTAGATCCACAAAAGAGAAGCTAAGGAATGGAAATAACTTGTGTGCAGTAGGATGCAAAAGCTCTTTAGAGGTAGGACATAAAATAATAAATGTGTGAATTGATAATAAGAGATAGGTAAAAAGGTCTCAGAGGATGACAGAATGTCTTCTGCAGATACTGAAGTGTGTTGGACAAAATGAGGGCTCTCTGCTATTTGTACATTTTGTAAAAATGCCCTGTATATTTAGCATTTTGTGAAATGAAAATTTTCTGTGCTATTAAATGTTGCTGGCAAATGGCTGTGAGACCAGCAAACTCAAACACACCTCAACTTTCCCTACTTTGGTTCTCTTTACTGTTACTTAGTAATATCAGAGAGATTTTACTACAAACTTTTGCCTATGGAAGAACACTGACTGCCACTTCTTCAGTCTGTATTTATGCCAAATAGCCCATTTGGTACAGGAAGGGAAAGTGGTCCAGATCTCTGCTTGACAGGCCAAAGAGAAATGCTTTTAACAGCTATAAAAAAATTGTAAAACACAGAATTTATAAATCAAAGCTCCAGAGGAAGATCTTAATCAAAGCCCTCTATTGACGTAGATACATCACTCTTGAGCATGGCCAGAATACTGAAATAGCTTTTATTAATTAACATTTCCAGTGTGTGGCACACACTGCTCCACCCAGGGCCAAAAGAAACAATGCCATGCAAGGGTGAAGCTCTTCCATGGACAGTTCAGCTGCATCTTTGGACACAAAGCTGCTGAGCTGCTTCCCTGCCACTGCTGAGCCTGGGGACGCAGGGGCTGCAGCAGGTTCAGACCCTGGCACAGCACAGGGACACGGTGGCAGCAGAGGGGCTGCCTCAGTCTGTGGCTCAAACACTCCCCAGAGCAGGGACAGCACAGACAGCTGCCCTGGCAGCACCCTGGCAATGGGCAATGCCATCCAGCTGCCCTGGCAGCACTGGGAGTGGGGAATGCCATCCAGCTGCCCCTGGAAGACTCTGCCCAGAACTCAGGAATGCAAAGCAGATGTCTGCTCCGGGCATTTTTCCTGGACTTGAATGAGGCTGTTTGGATTCAACACAGCTGCTCCAAAGGGTCATAGTTTCTCATGGAAGGTGTCCTATTACAAAGCATTCCAGAGGCTAAATTTAGGGGTGGCATTTTGGCCTAATAAACATTTGAAAATAAATATTTCTAACAAATTAGTGTTTTCTTCTCCCACTTTGTCTCCATGCAATAGGAACCAGCTAATGATCTTCAAGAGCAGGATGGAAGGTTTCTACCAGAACTGGTGGTACATTATCAGCAAGTACAGAGCTGAAGGAGCCTGGATAGGAGGGCCTGGGCCTTCAGCAAAGCCACTGTGGTTTGTTCTATGATAAATACAACATCCACATCACTTAAACACACCAGATCTAAACTAATCAGATTCTCCATCCCTAAACAGCAGAAGTCAGACCTCTGCTTTGAAAATCATCCCTCAATGATTAACGGTAAATGCAAACCATCAAACACATTCTATTGCTTCTCTGAGAAGGCAAATGGTCCAAAGTGCATCCCCGGGGCTGCTGTGCACAGTGTGTTTCATAAGGCAAGTGCCAACATTCCAATAAATTATTTAGCACTAGTATTATGAAGTGATGAAAGCCAAGCAGAGAGCTTCAGCAAAGCACCATTTACTGATCCCTTCTCTGTTTGGAGTGCAGGTTGAAGCAATCTGTTGTCAGCTTAGTCATCCTCCTGTATTCCCCCTGGCACATACTTGCATTTCTTTCTCCCCCCAAAATTTGGGGGCAAAATTTATTTTCTTTGTAAAAAGCCACCAAAAACCAGAAAACAAAATCAAACCACCCAAGCGTGGTGCCTGGGAGCTGCCAGCATGCATTACCATGGCTGGAGTTTCATCTGTGGTGCAAATGCTGGCAATGTCAGAACTAATCAGTTCAGTGACTCAATAAGAGGCAGAGCAAAGCTGGGTTGTTCTGTTCCTTGCCCAATATTAATATTACATAAATACTGTCTTTATTTGCAGTTTCATTCATACATCCCAGCCCATTCAAAGGCTGCTGAGCCAAACGAGCAGGCTGAGGCTGCTGCAGAGTTGGCTTTCTGCAGCCCTGTGCAGACAGGGAAGCTCAGCTCTGGACTGGGAAGGTCTGGCTTTGTTCCTCTCCTGCTTTGCTGTGTGACTTTGGATGTCACACTTGGAGCACTCAACTGGACTGCCAGGCTGAGCTTCACACAATGTCCATCAGCTTCACCCTTTTCAAACAGCATCTGAGACCCTCCCAGGGAAAATACTCCTGGAGTGCAAAGCACTGCCATCAAACTGGTGAGCACAACCTATATTTTTAGAAAGTGTATTTCTTATTTTCCAGATAACTGATGGCAAAGAAGGCAACATCGCAATGGATGCATGTACCAAAACACCCAGCAGGATTTCTCAACAGGTTGTTATTTTTCCATGTGGTCCAGGACTAGAGACATCCTTTACAAAAATTCAGATTAATTTTTAATGAGTTTTTCTATTGTCAAGGTCTACCAAAGACAACAGTTTAATGAATGGCGCAGTTCCCAAATAGGAACCAGAAGAATAAGTTGAGTTTTAGCATTAAATCTCAAAGCACTTAGAGCAAAACTTGTCAAACACTGCCAGGACAATCTTTCAGCAGAGCCTGCTGGGCTGCTCATACTGAGAACTGGTAATGACTCCTGTATTGCAGGTGCACAAATAACACCTCTTCAAAGATACTGTATTTCCTACCACAATGAAGCAGTAATTAAAAATAAATCATGTTTTACACAGGTCTAAAGAGCCCTCCACATTTGGCTAATCTAAGGTAAGATAATTAAAATCAGACGTGATTTGGAAGTGTGGACACGTACTGCTAAATGTCCTCCAACTCTGCACACACCAGCTTGTACAACTTGTGATGTCTGAAAGTGAAACTGTATTAACAGTCCGAAACTGTCACAGGAATGTAAAGATTTTACCTAAAAGTTATCTTGGTGTACTTGTGAAATGCAGTGTGCAAAATCCACTTCTAAGATGCAGTTTATAACTTATTTTTAATAGTGAGAAACCAGTTAAAAACAGGTTGAAAAAAATGGTTAATGGAAAACTGTACCTATGCAATTACTCAATACAATTAAAAAGCTCATTTTTATTATATTTTTGTAGCTGTCTGTAAGCTAACTCCCCACACAGTATTTTTTAAAAGAGCAAAGAAGCATTTCCTCAAGAGAATTTAAGTGATTTTATTTTGCTCACAGTTTTATATAATTTGTAACATCACCGCATATATACAAAATTAGTTAAGTAGATCAGAACACCAATGATTTCCTCACCAGGCAATTATGACCGAGCAGACAAACACTGATTCACCACTTCCAGCAGGTGAGAGTTTTCCAAAGCAGCTGCCACACGTTCCTTATCAGCGAGCTGTTTATTAACTGTGCAGGAAAAAGCCCACGAGAAACCAGTCAGGACACTGGGACTCGCTGTGCTCACGCCGAGCCCCACCATCCCAGCTGCAGGGCTGGGGATGCCCAGGGCACCCAGCTGCTGTCTCAGCACGGAGCCTCTCTGGCACAGCAGCTGTGCAGGAGCTGCCTGGGATTCAGCAGCAGGAGCTGCTCCACGGGTGTGACACAAAAAATCCCCGTTTCCTCCCCTGTTCCCAGTGCTCAGGCAAATCAGCAGTGATGTCTGAGAGCACAGGCTGCCTGAGGAGATGTGCACAGAACACTGCAGCACTCCATGTTCTGTTGTGGAACATCCCCCAGAATCTGACGCACAGAAAGTCCCAGGCACTGAGCAGCTGCTCTGCAGCTGTGGGAATCTCTCTCCTCACTAATTTTCAAGATTAAAACAAATATGAAGGCCACACGAGAGAGGACTAAAAGTCTTACCTGCGTGCTCAGAGGCATGTGTTCCTGGTGTTATATGAACATCCAGCTGAAACAGCAGCATGAAAGAAACGGGATGAGTTTGACAAAGCATCGGAACATTAAGTTCAAACTAATACAAATGAAATAGTAACAAAAAGAAGAGAGAAAGGACATTCTTGCCACTATCAATTATTCTATATAACAGAATAAAACAGAAGTGTACAATTGCAGAGCATTCTGCATTTGTACATGGTTAAACCTGCTTCAGACAAGGGTGAGAGCTCCCCTCCTGCTGTGCTGCAGAGCACTGCCTGCAGTGATTGCCCCTGGCCCGTGACAACCCCCAGAACTGCACGCTGGTATTTCACCCACTGCCCTCTCTGCTTCCTGCAGCACCCCTCACACCAAAAATGAAAAAACCTCTAGTTATTTTTCACTGCAAGCTGCTTAGCTTTTCTTTTTTTTTTTTTTACCTTTTAAAACTTTTTTTCCAAACACAACCCCTCTCTTTTGCTTTGACTGCTCACCTTGAACCTGTCGGGCAGAGAGCGGAGCAGCTTGACCTTGATGGAGAGGCCGATGAGGGTGGCCATGCTGCAGTGGGGGATGGTGGGCGTGAACTCCACCGACACCGTGCTCTCAGCATCGTTCACCTGCGGGCACAGCGGCTGGCACCACAGCCCCGAGCCCCGCTCGGGCACCGTCAGTGCTACCTTTACGTGCTACCGTAAATATAGTTCAATACTATAAAACACGAGAAGTCTATTTGAATGTTAGAAATTATTAATTGACAAGTACTATGTTCAATATATTAAATATATTAAAATATTATATTGTAATGTGATCATTAGAATTATAACTATTGTAAATACATTTAAATATTCTA